GTATTCATCATCTTTATTATTATAATAATTGCCATTGTTATAATCCGATAATTGAATTGAATTAATTCCATCCCAATCGAACCCGATCGTATTAGGTTCACCATCGTCATCATCTTGTTTCTTGAGATTTTCATCTTGCTTTTGTTCGTTCGACCAGAGTAACATTTCAATATCACCTCTTTTATCATCACTGTCATTAATTTTATCACAATTATTTGATAAAAGCTTTAAAATTTCAACATCATCGTCATCATCGTCATCATCTGATATTATTCTAATAATTTGTCGCTCGTCATTATCATCCATCATCGAATCAATATTATTTTTATTAGTATTTGTTTTTGGTTTTAATCTTGACGGCGATGATAGTGGTGATAATAATAATGAATTGTTCACATGATCATTATCATTAGTATTGGCGATAGTAGTGCTGTTGTTATTATTATTTCCCTCAGATATCAAAGATTGACTAGTACGTAAATTGTCGTTATAATTGTTATTGGTTGCCTTGCGATTTTTTGGCGCACGTCGACATCCAATTTTACAACATTCATGCGCGCATCTACAAATAACAACAAATTAATTAAAGAATTATATTATGAAATAATAAAAATCATAGCTTACTTTTGTTTATCTCTACAATTATGATTGCATTTTACTCGACCATTAGGTAAAAGTTCAAATGACTTTTTGGAAGAGTTTACTGTTAGTGATTCTTTGGATTTATTGGACAGTGTTGAAGATGATGTTGTTATTGTCCTTGGTCGGGTTTGTCGTGGTGATATCAATTCGACATTAATGCCATTCTTGTGTTTTTGTTAAATATAGCAATGTTGGTTTTTTCAATAAAATTATTGATTAAAAAATAAATAAAACTTACATCTACCATATTGTAATTTATAAATAATTCTTCTTGTAAACTGTAACTATTGTTGTTGTTATTATTATTGCCCAATACTTCAAAAGTTTGTACTGGTATAACCTCTTGCTGAACGTTGTTACTAATATCATCTACATTTTGATTTGGCGATGCAACTTCATTTGATTCGATAGGTGCGAACAAAATATTTCCTGAATCACAATCCAATATAATTGTTTGATGTATATCCAACCCAACTAATTCCAAAGCCAAAAAAAATACAAAAATGATGTGATGATTTAAATAAATAATTAAAATAATAATAGATACAATATATACAGTATGTATTGCTATGTTTTTACTTATATTAATTTCATATTTTATTAATACTTACGAAATTCTTCTGGCAGAACGGAACAAGTGAATTTTTGAATTGGTTCGGTTATTTTAATCCTTAATTCGAAA